GCTTTCCACTGTGTTTTTTAATTCAGAAATTGTATTCTTCATTTCCTCTTGGCCCTTGCTAATAATTTCCATTTCCTTTTTCATGTTGATATAGTTCACAGTGAGATCATTGTAGCTTCCCTGTAGTTTCTGGTAGCTGATTGTGAGCTCTTTGAACTTCCTGATAACCAGTGCTTTGAATTCAGAATCTGATAGTTGACTTGCCTCTATTTCATCTAACATTCTTTCTGAGGATTCTTCCTTTCCTTTCATTTGGGGATTGTTTCTTTGTCTTCCCATGTTTGTGAGACTCTTCTTGTTAGCCTCAGCTTCTTAGATTAATCTGTTTTGACACCCTGGGTTTATGGTATGAACTTTTGTGGTGGAATGCCTGTGAATTTCAATGGTGCAGCCTCTTTTGGCTATCCTGTTGTTCTCTGCTTCCACCTACTCAAATATGCAGCAACTTGTGGCTTCTCTCTTACAACAATGTGCAATTTGTCTCTGTGACTCTACTATTGGGAGGCCTCTTCTATGGGTCCAGCTCTGGTCTTTTCATATTTTCAAGTTGATTGTGACTCTTGTGGGTAAAAGAAAGAAATGATAAGGAAAGAAATAAAAAGAAGAAAGAAGAAAAATGGTAGGGGAATGGAAGAAAGAGCAATAAGTTGAGAAAGAAAAGAAAAAGAAATAAAACAGAAAATCCGGGAAAAGAGGACAAAAGTATAGAAAGATGAAACAGTAATAAAGTTTAAAAGAAATAACAGATTACTTTAAAAAAGCAAAAAGATAAAGAAAAGGAATGGAGAAGGAAGAAAGGTAAAAAAAAGAAAGAATAAAAATAAAATAAAGTAAAGTAAAAAAACAAAAAACAAAAAACGCACAAACAAAAATAATCTCTCAAAAACAACCTCAGAAAAGGAAATGTCACTTGTTGGCTTCAAACTAGCCGAACTGGTTTTTCTGGTTGCAGTTGGCTGAGGGTTTTTTCAGCCAGCCCCTCTCAGGATCCAGACACTTGGCGCCTCTCCCCCAGCTCCCTACAATGGGGAACTAGGACTTTCTCACAGCGCTTCCCTCCCAGGGGTTACTGCCATAGTCTGGTTTGCTGTGTTTGCAGGCACCTGAACCGGCCTAGTTGCCTGGTTCCCTTAGGATTGAGCACAGGCCTGCCCCCCGTTCAGTTGGAAAGCCCCAGACCCTCTGCCCAATCCTGGGTTTGCTGCCCAGCTGGGTGTGAAGCAGACCAGGCTGCTGTGTCTACTGGATTCAGAGCCCCAGGCTGCACCTCTGAGTTCTCCTGGGCTGGCAACCACAGAATCCTTGGTTGGGGCCCTTTGTCCTCCGCACCCTCTCTGTAAACTCTATCAAACAAGTCTCTCCTGGCCCCCCACATTGCTTGGCCAGAAAGGGAGGGGGTTGAGGGTCTCAGCTCTTTTCCCAGGACCCCTCAGCGCCCGGGCTCCAGATAGTCTGAGGGGAGTAGACTGGAAGCCGGGAGCCGATCTGAGGACTGGGCGCCGACCTAGAAACTCTGTGTGCTCATCATGGCACGCTGCGTGGTGTGTATCCCTTCTGCTCCTGTGTTTGTCTGGGTCCCCTGGCCAACCTCTGGCAAAAAAAAAAAAAAAAACCTAGGGATGTAGCAGCACCACGCTGGGTGCTGGACCCAGAACTGTGTGCAGGCTGAAATCTCCTCTGCTCCCCTCTGGTTGTGTCTCTTGGCCGGTCCGGGCCCAAAAATCCTAGGGAGGGAGCTTTCTGTGCGCTGAACGTTGGCCTAGGCACCCTCAGGCACTTGCCCAGACACACTGCGTGTGGAGCGACTAGTTCCCCAACTTGCTCGCAGGCTGAAGTTTCTTCCACACCTCTTTGCCTGGGCCACTCGGCCTGCCGGGCAGAAAAATTCCAGGGAGGGAGCCGTCCAGGCGCTGAACACTGTCCCAGGCGCCTTTAGGCACTCTCCCAGACACAGTTCCCACCAGGCGCTGGACCTCCGAGCTATGCATAGACTGAACTCACCTCTGCTCCCCTCTGGTTGGGCCACTTGGCAGGTCCCCGGCCCAAAAATCCTAGGGAGGGAGCTTTCTGTGCGCTGAACGTTGGCCTAGGCACCCTCAGGCACTTGCCCAGACACACTGCGTGTGGAGCGACTAGTTCCCCAACTTGCTCGCAGGCTGAAGTTTCTTCCACACCTCTTTGCCTGGGCCACTCGGCCTGCCCGGCAGAAAAATCCCAGGGAGGGAGCCGTCCGGGGGCTGAAGGCTGTCCCAGGAGCCGTTGGGCTCTCGCCACAGGGCGCTGGTTCCCCTACCCTGAACTGGCTGTTTCTCCCTGCTCCGTCCCAGAGACTACTGTACCGCTGCTGTCTCCCTACTGTCTGGTTCCTCCGTGACCGATGAGGTTTCTGGTCTCTTATTTTCATATATGCTTGGCAACTGCTGGCTTGCTGGCCTCACCTCCTCCGATGGGATAGGTTTCTGTCTCTTTTGTACTAGGAACTGGTATCTGCTCCATCCTAGTCCACCACCATCTTGAAACCCCCCTCACCAGCATATTTTAATTTAAGCTGAAAACCAATGGAATATCAATAAATCCCAATAATACATGTTTTGATCCCTAATACACTATATGTTAGTATGTGACACCCGCACATACCACTTTCCTACCAACATATTTCCCTACTTAAAGATATCAGCCAAAAGCAAATACAGCCTTTTCCCAGTTGTATAAAAAAACTATTCTAAATATTAGTGGCATAAAACAATAATTTATTATTATCACCCATTATTCTGTGGGGTAACTTGGTTGAGCTATGTGGGTCTCATTTAAGGTCTCTCGTGTAGTTGCAGCCAGATGGGAGAGTGAGGCCAAAGTTATCTTGAAGCTTGCCTGGCTTGGTTGTTCAAGTTGGTTGTCTTACCCTTGATGTTGGCTGCCAGCTGGGATCTCAGCCCTGACAGTAGGTGCACCTACATTTGCCTTGGGCCTCTATCATTGGTTCCCAGAGGGAATACCCCAAGAATATCCATCCACTCCAGGAGAGAAAGTAGAAGCTATTAATCTTAAATCCCAGACCCTAAAACTGGCACATTGTCATTTCTGCCATATTCTACCAGTCAAAGCAATCACAGAGCCCATTCAGATCCAAAGAGGAAGGACAAACACCCCACCTCTCATTGGCTGTAGTATCCAGAAAAGTCATGACTTCTTTAATCTACCATAATATCCATTATAATTTTTCATTTATGATGCTCACATAAACTAAAATTTACTACAACTTCAAAACAATAAAAGAAGTGTTTTTATAAGGCATTTGATCTAAAATAATCAGATTAAATCTGATCAGGTGAATCAGATATTAGATGGAGAGTTTATTTCACCATATAATCTAATTTTTGCCCCTGGTAAGTTGGTTGAATAAAATACTTAAATAATTTCCCCACTTCCTAGTAAGTTTTACCACCACAAAGAGGAAAGACAATCAGACAAGGATTCCTTTTTTTTTTTTTTTTTTGCTGAAGCTTGAACAGCTTCTGGCTTTTGTGTGAATGTTGGAGTTCCTGAATTATTTCAGTCTACCTTCTCTCAGAAGAGAGCAGTTCTCAACCCTTGACTCAGTATTCAAGAGTCAGGTTTTTGAAAGAAGATTCTTAGAAGTTATATTACTTTTCTTATGAAAAATTAAAGTTCAGATAACTCATTGGTAAGTAGGAGGCCTCCAGAACAAAGGCTCTGGATTCACATTTAAAACTTTAAACTTTTGATTTTGGGATGCTTATAGATCAACATGAAGTTATAATCGATAATACAGTGAGATCCTATATAGCCATTACCTAGTTTCCCCTAATGTTACAGTCAAGATACTGACATTGATATAATCTACCAATTTTATTCAAATTTCCTCAGTTTTCCTTTGTGTGTATCTGTGTATTTAGTTCTATACAATTTTATCAAATATGTAGCTTTGTCTACCCGCCTCCACAGCTGAGATACAGAAGAGTTCCACCATCACAAAAATCCCTCACGTTCTTTTCTAACCATACCTACTTCCCTCCTGCCACACCCATCCCTAACTCTTAACAGCCACTAATCTGGTTCTCTGTACCTATTATCTTGTCATTTAAAAATGTCATATAAGTAGAAGTGTATAGTATGTATCCTTTTGAGACTGTCCTTTTTAACTCACCATAATTTAATAGAGATGTTGTATGTATCCAAGTTGTATGTATCACTAGTCATTCCTTTTTATTGTATGGTATGGATATATTACAGTGTATTTGACCATTCACCTGATGAAGTACATCCAGGTTGTTTCTAGTGAATCACTGTTGCAAATAAAGATGATACTAATATTTTATACAGATTTTTATGTGGATATAATCTTTTATCTCTCTGGGATAAATGCTCAAGAGTGTAATTGCTAGGTTGTATGGCAGTTCTATGTTTAGTATTTCAATAAACTGCAAAACTTTTCCAAAGTGGCTATCCCATTTTACATTTCCACCAACAATGTTTCAGTGAACCAGTTTTTCCACATTGAATTTTAATGATGTCAATTATAATGGGTGGCAGGCAGCCCAATGTGAATCAAACATTACTGCTTACTTTCCCCTTTTTAGTTACTTAGGAAAGAATATGGACAAACAGGAAGAAGTACCTTATGGGGCTATTTTCAGTGGCATTTTTATCCCTGCCTCATACACCAACTATCATATATGTATGTTCAGTGATGGTCTAGTCTTCAATGCATCACAGGCACTCAGTATCTATTGACTGACCAAATGTGTGTTAATCATCTCTCAAATTCTTTTTAATATTAAAAGTTATATGCAAATGTATTCGTAGTCTCCAGCCTCTTTTCTCATACTTCAGATATCTCTAAAACCAGTAAGTGCTAACATAGTCAAATGGGAATCGATTGTTATATTTAAGCCACCAAGTAAATGTACAAACGTGGGCTACAAAATAACAAAACAAGCATTCTCATATTTTCCTTTTGTATGTCTCCCCTTGGCCAGGTGGAATTATCTTCTGACATTGGCCTTCAATACAAAGGAGAACTGACAGTTGTTTTACGTTACATTCCCCCAGATGAGAACCTGATGTTTCCAACAGGACAATGTCAAGGTAAAGAAAAAATCAATGACTTTGATCAAGAATATTCAGACCTAGAACTGTGGAAATAGGTATCCAGAATTGTTTGGATTGTTACACATATCAAATTTAAAGGTTTAGGTGTCACTGACTCTCAAGGAGAGTTGAGAAATATATACTATATATGGGGAAGGGTGTGGTATTCTAAGTTCATACTTAGAAACCAGCCTTAATGGTGAGATTTGTTTCCCAGAAGTCCTAGAGATACAGGATCTTCCCCAGGATAGAGGAAATGTGTAGCTAATTAATGTATGGATTTGTGATATTCAGAGTTACTCAGTGAGTCTTGAGAAAGAAGTTGATCTAGAACACAGAATGTAAAGGAAAAATCCACATCGAGTCAACTTTTAAATCTCTCTTGCACCCTGGCTCATGTGACTCAGTGCACTGAGGCCAGCCTGCAAACCAAAAGGTCACCAGTTTGATTCCCAGTCGGGGCACACCTGGGGTTGTGGGCCAGGTCCCCAGTAGGGACTTGTGAGAGTCAAACACACATTGTTGTTTCTCTCCCTCTCTTTCTTCCTCCCTTGTCCTATAAAAATAAATAAACGAAGTCTTTTTTCTTTTTAAAGATTTTATTTATTCACTTTTAGAGAGTGGGGAAAGGGGAGAAAGAGAGGGAGAGAGACATCAGTGTGTGGTTGCCTCTTGCACACGCCATACTTGGGGCCTGGCCCGCAACCCAGGCATGTGCCCTGACTGGGAATCGAACTGGTGACTCTTTGGTTCTTAGCCCATGCTCAATCCACTGAGCTACACCAGCCAGGGATAAATAAACAAAATCTTTTTAAAAATAAATCTTTCTTGCTTTGCTCCTTCCATCAAATCCTACAGGCAGTCTGTGTTCTTCCATTCACTATCACCCTCTTCATTGTGACCTTGTGCAAGTAACTTACTATCTCTCAGCCTCAGTTTCCTTACTTCATAGGGATACTGCAAGGATTAAATAGGTTTATTCCAACATGGACCATGCAACTCTCAGGGTCTTTTCCATTTTATTCCTTTATACTCTGGGAAAAGATATATGTTGTAGGGTAATACTTAAAGTTTTAAACTTATAGCCACAAATGAAACCTATCTAGAAGAAATCCAGTGGGGTAAAAACATTTAAATAATACATGGAAAAATACAATAATATTAAGACCTGATTCAATCAGCAAATGAAATAAATCTTAGTAGGTATTTTTGTAAATTTTGAAATAGAACTCATGATCTCTCTCCTCCTCTTTTTTCTTCTCTCTCTCTCTCTCTCTCTCTCTGTGTCTCACTCTCTCCCTCTCTTTCATTTTGATGACTCATGCAGGAAAGAAGTCCTTTAAAAGGGGAAAGAAGGATCCACCTATGCTTTCTGGAGGAATACTAGAAGTGTTCATCAAAGAGGCAAAGAATTTGACAGCGGTGAAGTCAGGAGGCACTTCTGATAGCTTTGTTAAGGGGTAATTTTTTTTAATTTATTTTTTTATTGATTATGCCATTACAGTTGTTCTATTCCCCCCCTTCATTTCCCCTCCACCCTACCTCCCCGTCCCCATTACCCCCCCTTTAGTTTATGACCATGTGTCTCAAGTTCTTTAGATTCCTATAGTTCCCATACTATTCTTGCCTCCCCATCTATTTTCTATCTACTGTCTATGCTACTTATTTTCTTTATCTTCTCCCCCCTTCTCCTCCCTCCCACTCCCCCTGTTGCTAACCCTCCTTGAGATCTTCATTTCTATGTTTCCACTCCTGATCTAGCTGTCCTTTTAGTTTGCTTTTGTTTTAGGTGTGGTTGTTAATAACTGTGAGTTTGCTGTCCTTTCACTGTTCATGTTTTTTAACTTCTTTTTCTTAGAAAAGTCCCTTTAACATTTCATATAATAAGGGCTTGGTGATGATGAACTCCTTGAATTTGATCTTATTTGAGAAGCACTTTATCTGTCCTTCCATTCTAAATGAAAGTTTTGCTGGATAGAGCAATCTTGGTTGTAGGTCTTTGGATTTCATGACTTGGAATACCTCTTTCCAGCCTCTTCTTGCCTGTAAGGTCTCTTTTGAGAAATCTTGACAGTCTGATGGAACTCCTTTGTAGGTGACTGTCCCCTTATCTCTAGCTGCTTCTAGATTCTCTCCCTTCATTTTAATCTTGGCTAATGTAATTATGATGTGCCTTGGTGTGTTTCTTCTTGGGTCCAACTTCTTTGGGACTCTCTCATCTTCCTGGATTTCCTGGAAGTTCTATTTCCTTTTGCCAGATTGGGGGAGCTTTCTCCTTTATTATTTGTTCAAATAAGTTTTCCACTGGTGGCTGTGCCTTTCCCCCTTCTGGTACCCCTATAATTCGGATGTTGAGCGTTTAAAAGATGTCCTGGAGGTTCCCTAAGACTCTCCTCATTTCTTTGAATTCTTGCTTCTTGACTCTTTTCTGTTTGGCATTATTCTTGCTTTCTTCTGGTCCACTCCATTGATTTGAGTCCCAGTTTCCTTTTCATTGCTATTGGTTTCCTGTTTAATTCCATTCATTTCAATTAGTTTTGCCTTCATATATTTGTCTAATTTGTGTCTATAATCAACCAGTTCTGTGAGGATCCTGATCACCAGTGTTTTAAACTGTGCATCTGAGAGTTTTGCTATTTCTTCATTGCTTAGATTTATAGGCTCTGGGGCTTTGAGATCTTCTTGAGCCATTTTTGGTCTGTTCACGCCCTTTCAGTGTGAGGAGTGGAACCTTGGACTCCCAGGTTGCTGGTTTGTGACACTGTATGTGGGGGCGTGGTCAGAGTGGGGAAATGGCGGCACCCTCTGCTGTTTTGCACCGCTGGGTGAGGAACAGAGTCTTAGGTGGTTCACCAGGGCCGGGCCACTCAGAGTCGCTGGATTATGACGCTGTATGTGGAGGTGGGGTCAGGACAGGAAAATGGCAGCGCCCTCCCTCCTGTTTGCTGCGGGACTGGCTGGTTCCGGGTCCAATCGCCCACTCCCTCGCGTGTCTATCCTCACACAAATGCCCAACCACAGTCAACCCGCAGCCCTGCCCCCTCGCTGTTTCCCCGTGGTGTTCTCGCTTGGTTGCTCACTAGGTCCAACCCTGTGCCTGGATTCCGCGCGCCTGAGTCCCTCTGACCAAGTTTTCCTGTGCTATCCTGCTCTACCAGCTGCTGGTTTCGCCCCTAACCGGTCAGGCTGAAAAATTTGTTGTTAACAGATTTCCGAAAAGTTCAATTTTCTGTGTTCTGGCTGTGTTTTCTATTGCTAATATTTAGTTGTCTCTAAACTTGGTTGTGTAAGAAGGCACGGCATATCCACCTATGCCTCCATCTTGGCGGAAGTCTCCGGTAATTTTGATATAGTTCATTTTAGATGATACTTAATGGGAGATGAAAAGATTTGTGATCCACGAGACAGTGGTGGCTTTGAGGTTTATTTGAAATGTATTGGGAAAGAGCTACCCTTGAATGGTGGTTCTTCCATCTAAACAATGTGAGTATAGAGAGAATGGTTTTCCTAGCTTTTAGCCTGCATCCAGCATATTTCAAGTCTGGCCTCAGCCCTCATTATGTTCTCACAGAGTTGACTTAACATCACTTCTAATAGTTTTTCCTTTATTATGTTAACATTTATGAACCAGAGATAACAAAGAATGGTATCCTTTTCTATACTTTTTGAAAAAGCCAGTAACTTTCTTGTAAATTATTTCCCTAGTTACACTTCAACAGTGAGATGATTTTAAAGGGACCTCATATTTTTATTAAAAAAGTGTGAGAAAGAATAGGTCCTTATATAAAGTTTAATATTATAAAATATATTAGTTAATATTAGCTATCTGTGACCCAGCTTAAAAGTAGCTTAAACAAAAGTTTTTTTTTCTCTTGCATGTAAGCAAAGATTAAAGGTAAATTGTGTAAGGCAGGTGTGGAAGGATCATGATAATCAGAGACAGAGATTTCTTCTATTTTGTTGTGGTGTTCACATCATGGGATAAGATAGCCATATTCTATCTGGCAAGATACTTCTCAGAAGTTAATACTAAATTACTTCTTTTGTTTTAGGTATGGTTGTTAATAAGTTTGCTGTTCTTTCACTGTTCATGTTTTTTTAACTTCTTTTTCTTAGATAAGTCCCTTTAACATTTCATATAATAAGGGCTTGGTGATGATGAACTCCTTGAATTTGATCTTATCTGAGAAGCACTTTATCTGTCCTTCCATTCTAAATGAAAGTTTTGCTGGATAGAGTACTCTTGGTTGTAGGTCTTTGGATTTCATGACTTGGAATACCTCTTTCCATCCCCTTCTTGCCTGTAAGGTCTCTTTTGAGAAATCCGCTGACAGTCTATATCAGGAGTGGAAACATAGAAATGAAGATCTCAAGGAGGGTTAGCAACAGGGGAGTGGGAGGAGGAGAAGGGGGGAGAAGGTACAGAAAATAAGTAGCATAGATGGTAGATAGAAAATAGATGGGGGGAGCAAGAATAATATGGGAACTATAGAATCTAAAGAACTTGAGACACATGGTCATAAACTAAAGGGGGGTAATGGTAGGGATGGGGGTTAGGGTAGAGGGGAATGAAGGGGGAATAGAACAACTGTAATGGCATAATCAATTTATATATATATATATATATATATATATTACTCCAAAAAAATTACTTCTTGTATTTTATTGGCCAGAATTTAGTTGCATGACCAAGCTAGCTTCAAGGGAGGCTGGGGAATGTAGTGTTTATTCTGGGCAATCTTGTGCCAAACTGAAAAAAAAATGAAGTTTTAAAGAGGATAATAAGGAGATAATCAATAGTTGGAGATAAGTAGTCTCTGCTTGGTGCATGAAATGTAATGTCAAGTATAGCAATGTATCCTTTTTATTGTGAGGTCATTTATTTTGTGGCATCTTCCATGTTTGTTTGATGTACTAATTCCATACCCATATATCTTCTCTAAAGTGTTCTCTCTGATTCATCAGGTACCTAGACCCTCATTCTGTACTGTAGTCAAAAACAGGGTTTTGACCATAGTAGAGAAGGCCTGGGGTGCAGGTGTTTTATGTGAGAAGAGATTCCTAGAAGCACCAGTGAGAGAGTAGAGAAAATGAGATAGGGAAGAGGGGACAAAGCTGGTAAAAAATATGTTATAGGAAGTTTACTGCTGTGGCAAGTTAGGGCTAAATTCCAATGGGGAAAGCAGGAAGGAACTCTAGAATATACCTTAGCATTGTCCCTTCAAAAGACAGGGAAGCTCATCCACCAATTTCCAAAACTGAGTGGTTGATGGTTACTCCTAGAGACATTAAATCCCTACTAATCCCAGGACTTCCTGCATATAATCTGAGTCACCTCACACAGCTTGAGAAAGTCCTTAACTGAAAAGCCAAGAGGCACACGCTCTTAAGGTTGGAAACTGCCAGCATCTTGGCTTCAAGTCAGCTCACAAGTGGGCCAGAGATGATAGGAGGCAAGACATTAAACCATGTATGCTACAGGAGGCATTCTCATTTCAAGATGAGTGAAGGACCAAAATATGATTAGAAATGAGAGTGTGGGCATTTTACTATTTCCCCACTTAAAAGAAATAATAAACCATCCCAATAAATAAATCCAGATTATGCATGTAAGAACCTGGGAGACAGAAATTCCAATATATATATATCACACTTACACATATAGACAAACACCAGGAATTATTGGAAATTGAAACAGTACTCAAGGATTCTCTTTTCTGCCTATGGCTTCACTGATGGCTTGATTGCATTTTCTCCTGCAGCTATCTGCTCCCTGATGATAGCAAAGCCACCAAGCACAAAACTCTGGTAATAAAAAAAAGTGTTAACCCTCAGTGGAATCACACTTTCTTCTTCAGTGGCCTGCATCCCCAGGATATAAAGAATGTTTGCCTAGAACTTACCATCTGGGACAAGGAGGCCTTTTCCAGCAACATCTTTCTGGGGGGAGTTCGTCTGAATATTGGAAGCGGTGAGAACTCTGACATGGTCTGTGATTGGGCACGGGGCTGGGGAGTAGTTCCTGAATGTGTGATATATTGTAGGCATAAATATAGTTTCGGCTTTCTAACTCCTGAAATTTCCACAGATGCTCCATGCCTTTAGCCAAAGATCTGTTTATTTTTTAAATAAGAATATTACTCTGGCTGTGTGGCTCAGTGGATTTAGTGCTGGCCTGTAAACCAAAAGGTCACTGGTCTGATTCCTAGTTGGGGCACATGCCAGGGTTTTGGGCCAGGTCCCCAGTACTGGGCACCTGAGAGGCAACTACATGCTGATGTTTCTCTCCCTCTCTTTTTCCCTCCCTTCCTCTCTCTCTCTTAGAAAATAAACAAAACCTTTAAAAAATAAATAAAATAAAAATACTGTTGCAGAACTTTGTATCCTTCAACTACAAGTTTGGGATGTATACTTTTTATATTCATTCTTGTCACCAAATGTTTTTTACACTTTAGTATAAGTAAATTTTAACTGCTTTCTTGGGCTTTATTTTGGGTTTTGCTCAGGAAACGATTACCAGAAAATAGAGGCTTCTGATAGGGGAAAGAAAGACTTCCAAGACCAACTTTACTTCATCCTCTTTTAATTTCTGTACATAATTTGTAGCCATTACTCACATTAGTTGAAAGTAAATAATTTTAATGGTTTTAAAACATGGAAACATACCACTTGTGCCACAAGACACAACTGTAACAGGGAGAATTAGAGGAAAATTTATATTAGGGTAGCACATGCAGCTCCTCCCAAAGTTTCATTATCCCATTGTTTGGGCCAGACATAAATGATTTACATGCATCATAGTCAACATTCCTATTGAGAATGACTCCACCCCTATGATGCTCTACTTATTTATAGATTAAGTAGAGCCAAGAATATCTATACCACTAAAATAAAAACTCTCCAGGTCAGAGAATTGGCCTTGTTAGAAAGGAAGAGCCTCAGAGCCCAGTTCAGCCTCTTATTCTGTCATGTTAAGTTCAGCCCAGATGAACCAGCTTTCTGCTAAACTACCAAAGTGGGGAAGAAATGAGCCACTAGGGCTATCCTGATTATTTCCCAAGATCTAGGCAGACAAGAGTACTGCAGTCTGAAAAAGATGTATATTTTATTCTAACTCCACTCATTAGGCTTATGGTAAGTGAGAACAAGCCAGTGAAGGGTTTTGTGGTTAAAAGGTCCCCTCAGAGATTAATTAATAGGTGTTAACAACCACACCTAAAACAAAAGTAAACTAAGAGGACAGCTAGATCAGGAGCAGAATCATAGAAATGAAGATCACATGGAGGGTTAGCAACAGGGGAGTGGGGAGAAGGAGAAGGGGGAGAAGGTGTACAGAAAATAAGTAGCATAGATGGTAGGTAGAAAATAGATAGGGGGGAGGGCAAGAATAGTATGGGAAACATAGAATCTAAAGAACTTGAGACACATGGTCATAAACTAAAGGGGGTGAATGGTGAAGGAGGGGGTGTGCAGGGTGGAGGGGAATGAAGAGGGGAAATAGAACAACTGTAATGGCATAATAAAGTATATTTAAAAAGTAGGTGTCTTCCAAAAACCTAAAACATTTCATTTGTGAAGTATAATATTCCCCTTTCCCTTCTTTAGGTGTGAGCCATGGAAAGAATGTGGATTGGATGGACTCTCAAGGGGAAGAGCAACGCCTTTGGCAAAAGATGGCTGACAATCCTGGGACTCCTGTAGAGGGTATACTCATGCTCCGTTCCAGCATGGGGAAGTGTCGGCTCTGAAGGTACTATTCTCCAAAATGAGGCCTCCTGAGACTGTTTGGCTGACACTTCCTACCAGTAGCAGGCTGAAGTCCTGGGATTCCTCTTCCCTGGCATTTCTCACCTGAGGGCATTAGGAAATGAGGAGAGAGATGTAAGTGGAATGAACCTTTAGGGCCATGATGAAAATTTTAAAAAGCATGTACCTCTATATGTATATTGGCCAGGACCTTCTTGACTGGATGATAGAAACTGTACCACATTGTTCTGTCAACGAGCAAATCATGCAATGATTCATTGGCTTTACCATGAGGGAAATGACTGGTGCAAGCATATTTGACACTATAGTCGAAATTGGAAATTCTAGACTTTTTGTAGTTATTAGCTACTTTAGGTTTCCTCAAATGGCTTGAGGGAAAGGAGGACCACTCAGGATGTAGATCACTTGAAGAGTAAGAAGAAGAGATACTGGCTACCCTTTCCTTACCCTTGGAATCCCCATGGTCCGAAGAAGGCATGTGGGGATGGTTGCTTGGGCAAGACGGTGGCTCTGCTATTTTAGCAATCTTGTGGCTTACCCAGGTACATTTTCAGGTTTTTATGTGGTGACTATATAGCTTATAATCTAAATCAGCCCACTTTTGAGAGCCAAAGGAGCTAAACCAGTGTAGCAGAAAAACAGATGTAAATCAGGATTGATCTGGGAAAATTGGGATGTATGATTACCCAAGTTATGACCTGGTTATTAGAGAGCTCTGTTGCAAACATGTATTTTATAAAATGTTCCAATCTTAACTGAAGGGGAATAAGAAATAATGTACATTTTGAGCCCTGCTTGTGTCATATCTATTGGTACCCAATTATTCAAAAGAAGTCACATGGCCAAGCCCAAAATCAAGAGACAGGGAAATATGTTCTGCTCACAAGGAAGCCATGGCAAGACTAGGGATGCAGGAAGGAATGAAGAATCAGGGCCAATAGTTTAATCTACATACTTTCTGTCACCTAGAATTCCTAGCCACCAAACTTAGATACAAAGGCAGTTAAAGCTGAAAAGGACATCAGACCTTGTTACTCATTTTGCAGATTCCAAATCTGACTATATTTGGACTCAAATCTGGTGTGTGACTCCTAGGCCAGTGTTCTTTCCACTGAAGCCCTTGGCACGATCCTGTTCTTATTATGGTAGACAGGAGAACATAGATGAAGGAAAGTAGAGCACAGTCTGATTATTTGAGTATGAACATACCTGACCTAGTATTCTTCTGGAGTCATATTTTAGCCCCTCAGCTAAAGGGGCTAAACATCCTTAAAAGTATAGAAACTGAATTTTAGTGGTAGGAAAACTAGAATCATCTTCAGGTCTATTCTAGCTTATTGTTCCATATTTTAAGTTTCTTCTTGAATTTTGAGAACAAATTTAAGAATATACTTGGCATTATTCTTAGTAAGAAAATAAACAATCCATTTTAATATTATTAAAAAATGGACTATTTCTAGAAAATTTAAGTTAGTGATCTAGTGTAGCTTAGTACATGTGGTACATTAAAAAATAGTCACACCTATATCCCTATGTTACCCTTCTTAAAAAGAGAAAAAACAAAAAAGTAACATCATTTCTACTTTCTATATTGGAAAAATAAATTGTCATAGATTTGATATGATTCATTCTATCTTGCACGGCATTTTTAGGGGACGTTAGAGGGTAGTGATGGTGAAGTCTAGAGACCTATCTAAAGTAGACAAATGAAGTGGATTTATTCACTAATAATGAAAGTAGCAAAGTAATAAATTCCACAATTTATAACTGGCACTCAAGACAAACATGAACATTATGTTCAGAACTTTACCACATTTGGAGCAATTCTCTGCATCATGATTTCATAAAAACCAATATCTAACTGAGCATTTCTATGATGCAAAACCCAAGTATTGTAAAAGTCCATCAGAAACATGTTTGTGTTGCTCTCAAATAAAAGGTAAATTGATTTTTAAGTCCCCCCCTTTTTTTTCACTAAGCATGGTGTAGAAGTACAACAAATATCTTTAAATGTTGGTAATAGATGTGAATGACATAACATTTAAATAGCTGAGAACTGTGAAAAGTCAGTCTTCCTTCTGCCCTTGTATATCAGAATATGTTGACAACCTGATTTTTTATGGCTACAGGGTATTACATTATGGGGATCTACCAAATTTATTTAACCAGTCCTATCAAATGCCATATTAAATATGGTTAAATAAACTGTCTATATTTAGTGGCTATGTTTGGTATGTTTTCAGCCCCTTTTTTTGAAATTCAAAATGAGTGGGTGTGTGTGAAATGCAGACATTTTATCCAGAGAAGATACTTGAGAAATGAGTACACACACAGCATTTATTGCAAAAGATTGGAAGCACTTCCAAAGCCCATGGATAGAGGCCTTCTGTCATAAATATGCCCACTTGCTCTATAGTTGCTCAATTTTGGTTCTTGTTCTTTCTTTTCTTCTCACTTTCTATACCCTCTCAGGTGTTATCATGTACTGTGCTCTCATGGTTTTATGACCATTCATATGCTTATGACTTCAAACTCATGTCCAACCCAGACCCTTTCTCTCAGACCCAGACCCAGCTCCAACTGCCTATATGACATCTCCACCAGGATAACTCATGTTTTCAACACATTCAAAACTGAACTCTTCACTCTACCCTCTCCCTTGCACCTAGGTCTTTCTACTCCAGTAGAATATCTATTGGACTATCTGATGGACTTTCTACTGGAGTAGAAAGATCTATGTCCTGACTCAATACCTGGTACCATTATCCACTCAGTTATTCTAAGTAGGCACTGGGTAATAATCTTTGGTTTATGCCTTTCCCTTCCTTGAGGCAAACTCAATCAGGAAACCATATAGATTCTACCTCCTAACTATCTCAAAGGCTTGTCTAATCCTTGCCATCTCTGTGCCACCACCCTAGTCCAAGCCACCATCACCCATTTCTATGGTTATTCCAAGTCTCCTAGTATCTATCTATGCAGCCACTTTTGCTCTTAACCAATCTATTCTTCATACTGTGGTCAAATTTTTCTAACATGCTATTTTAAAATGTTTAAACATACAGAAAAGTTGAAGTGATTTTACAGTAAACATTCTCATGCCCACTACTTAAATTCAGCTTTTACCATTAGCTGTTTTTCTTATTATCTATCTGTCCATCCCCTGATTGTTCTTTTTAAAAAATGCAAATCTTATAGTGCCTTGAAACCCTCCATGACTTTTCATTGCCCTGAGAATAAAATCCAAATTCCTGCTTGTGGCCTGCCAGGCCCTGCATAAGATGGTTGCTGCCTCCTCTTCAACTTGTCCCAGGCCACACCTCCCCTTCCCTTCCCTTTAATCACACAGTGCACTTTTCTGCTTCTCAGATGTGCCAGGCCCTGTCCCACTCATGGCCTTTGCAAGGGATCTTTCTGCTCTTTGTCCTCATCAGCCTGATTTCCATTATTCATTTAGGTCTTAAACATTACTTGCTCAGGGAAACCATCCCTGATCATTCTCTGTCTCACTGGGTCACAACAGCCTGCCTCTATTTTTCCTTTATGGCATGCATCACAATGATAAGAAATTATTCATGTAATGAGCCTTTTAATGCCTCTACTTGTTCCCTTCCTGCCTCACATCCCTGGAATAAACAGAGACAATATTTATGTTTTTCACAACTATATTACTTGTGCTTAGTTCATAGTGGGTGATTTAAAAATATTGGCAGAATAAGTGAAAATGAAAATAAAAGTAACATTATTGAATGTTAGTCCAGTAGGCATCGAGAGAGAGAGAGAGAGAGAGAGAGAGAGAGAGAGAGAGAGAGAGAGGGAGAGAGAGAGAATATCACTGTATCTAACTAATTGGAAGTTAGATACAGTGATATTCTCTCTCTCTCTCTCTCTCTCTCTCTCTCTCTCTCTCTCTCTCTCTCTCTCTCTCTCTCCCGATGCCTACTGGACTAAGGAAATGGAACTACACAGATCCCAACCAAAGGAAATGGGACTACACAGATCAAGAAAAACCTTTGAATATGCTTACTGGTTGGTCATTTAAAAGGAAGCTTCCTAGAAGCACTGTAGTTACAACCCTAAACACTTCATTCCAGCTTGTGTTGGCATACATAAAAGCACCAAGTGTGCTCTCTTGCCCAGCATATCAATCTTTCAGATGAGACCATGGCCTTGCCTAGAGCATCCTGCTCCTTGTTTGCACTCAGTTTTTCCTCAGTTGAATCCTACAAGTTGTAATGGGACATGGGCAAGCTTAAAAGCTTGAATCTATCAATTAGTTGTGTAAACAACACCTGCAGGATATAGGGAAGATTCAATTTATAAGTTTTCATTTCACTTACATTGTTATTGTCTCTGTAGTCATCAAAATGTAGATTTTCCAGGTCACAACAGCACCAAAAACAAAGATATTTTGATGGGACTTCATATTCTTTGCTTCCTTTTTCTTAAGAATCTTACACAAATATATGACCAATGATAATTAAGTACTTAAGTAACTAGTAGATGAAGTGTGCTCACCTGATTCACAGTAACATTAGTCTCATTATCACCCACTCCCTCAAGGTTTATATCTGGTAACGAAGGAGAAAGCAGTGGAAGAAATAAGGGCAAACCCCACTTTTAGAAGCAAAGTGGATCAAAATATCAAATCCCAGAAGCACCTCAGAGCGAAAGCCTATGACATTTTGGGCTGTGAGCAATGTTTGTCTTATCTTTTATATATATATATATATATATAGATATATATAGATATATATCTATATATATATATTTCATATATATATATATTTCATATATATTTCATATATATATATATATTTCATGATAAACTGAACATTGCCTTTAGAAGTTGGCAGAAGGGTTTTCTTTCTACAATGGTGACAGTTATGGCCTCTGAAATTAAAAAGAAATAGGAGGAGGAAGTCTACACAGACAAAACTATAACAAAAATTGGATATGCAGGATTTAAGTAATAGCCATG